GGGGCGCGGTGGGGCAGCTGAGGGGCTGCCCTCTGCGTGTGGCCGACCTCCAGGGGAGGAGGGGAGCGCCGTGGGTGTGAAAGGCCTTACGGAACAGTCGCCCCTCGGACGGTGGCTCTGCGGAGCACAGAGCCGGGAGGTGCGCTGCTGGAGGGAAACGCTTTCCTGTGCGGGGCTCCGTCGCTGGGAGCCTGCACTGCGGGTTCCGTAGTGGTGTGAACTAAGCTCGCTTCGTGTTGACTGGGCTCCCGTATCTTTGTGTTTCAAGATTTATTTTTGTGAGAATTATTATTTGTCTCCGTGCAAGGAGGAAAATGCGCTGTGAACTGCAGCTGGCTCAGCAGTTGGAACTGTTGTGTACCTACAGCGCGCACAGAGATTATAACTTACACAGTGCCTTATTGCTGATAAACAACATCTGCTGAGTTACAAGTTACTGAAAAGGGCAGAGCGGCCTGTAAAAACGGCTCGCGTGATTTCCTGTAAGGAAAGGTCTAATGTTTGGAGGGGGAAAAAAGCCAACCAAAAAAGAAGTCCTTCCAAGAACGAAACAGGCCGCATTACAATGAATTAATTGAAGTTAGGGACTTGCCAAAAAAGCAGGACACCCATGGGAACAGAGATACCCACTGCTTTCACTGGTGAAATTGATACTAGCTTGCTTTCATGAAGAAGTGCTTTCAGCTGTATTTTACATGTGGTATTTTAAGTACTCCTTAGAATGAGGCATGTTACTCCTCCAGTCCCGGCTAAAGGCTTTGCACTTGCAATTGTAGCATACTTCAGAGTGAGGGGAGAACACTGTGATGAAGCTGCTTGGCAGTCTGCTATAGTTCTATGCTAGGATGGACAGATATTGAGAGAAAATACTTAAAATTTGTAAATATACCAGAATTTCAGGAGTCACTTTTTTAATACGCAGTTCCCTTTACGTTTTCACTTTCAACTTTGTTTAGAGAGACTCTGTGGGTAGTACAGTTTTAGTTTTAAAGCTTGATGCCAGTGCTTTGATTTGCTCTAAAAACCTGTGAACGGTAAAATTTATCATGTAGTGGACTTCCAAAAAGGAATATTCCCTTCCAGCTCATATTTCTAATGTCCATTTTAGCTAGAACTCTGCAATTCCAGGCTATATAATCTGTGGAAGAGGTAATGAAAGAAGCAAATGAACTTTCAAGGGCTGCAGCAGTAACTTTTTGTAGTACACTGTCAGAAGTGATAATCCTGTCACTTCTGTAATCTGTAAGAGATTAGACCATATGAGAAGATATGTGTGATACAGGAAAAATCGTGTCTTCTTGTGGATTCTCTTGCTCACAGAACGTGGCAGTGGGTGTTAGTTACACAGTTTTAAATCAGAGGGGAAAAGACTGTTATAGGGAATATACTATTTTCCATTGCTTTGAAGTTTGTCTTTAAAAATACTGTAATTTATGGAACAGGGAATCTCTTGCTATTTGTGTACTGCTAGAAGTAGTGCCTTCCTGTCAGGAAAAGCTTTGCATGTGTAGATAATACTTCTGAAGAAATTAAGTCTAATTTACTACAGCTCACTTCACCTTCATTTGTATTCAGATTTTTTTTTAATTCTTTCTTAGTTACAACTCAAACCAGAGACATCTTAGCAATACTAGTTTCATCTTGCATTAGAGAAACTTAAAAACCTTATCTCTCCCAGAGGCTTGTATGTGTGGGAGATACCTGCCACAAGCAGCACTAACATACATCAGACTTTGGGACAGAACAGTGTGGCTAATCTGTTCAGATGCTGCTTATGTAACTGAGTGATGTTGTGTATTGTGTAATTAAGGGAAAGGTGATGGCTTTTCGTGTTTTGTGAAGATACTTCATACCACTTTTCTACAGCAATGCACATAGAATTCGTCATTGCATTCAGATCTAGCCTGTAGTTAGTGGCTTTAGTACTAGCTGCCGAGAATGTACATCAGGATAAATGACAGCAGGACTTGATCCATTTTGGATCAGTCTTTGAAACAGTTCTGCTTTTTTTTTTTTCTTTGGTTTTACACCTTACAATTTCACGTCCTGTTAGTTTCATATCCTGTTAGTATGGCCTTAGTGTCTTCTTCAAAGGAGACAGTCCCTGCTATTGCTACCTAAGCATACTTCTATAGGGTAGTGTTAGCACCACACAAATAAGTTCTAGCAACATATCTTCAATGATTCTGTCACTTTAACAATATCAAACCCAACCACTGCTGCCGAGAGATGATGATAGTTGTAAACTTGTTTTTCCTGCTGCTTGAATTGCCATTTCTTTGGACATCTTTGTACTTACATCAGCTCTGGGTGCCTCTGCAGAAATGAAGAAGAATTAGGTTTCATGCTGCTGTTGGGCCGTACAGGGTGACTGCTCCAGAGAATTGGGAATAATGCTTAGTACCTCTTGTGACAGTTAAGAGACCCACGTGAATTGGGAGGGAAAAGGGGATTTGTTTGGCCAAAAGCAAAAAAGAAGATAGTTCTCTGAGACGGTGCCTGTGCTGCTCTCCCTTCACACAGGGGGTGGCAGTAGCGTTTGCTGTTTCATCTTAATGAAATTAATGATTTACTTTCATTATAAAATTAGTGTCCTGTCCATACATGCAAAAAACATCTAGATACTTGAAGTAACTGTGATTCAAGCTGTCAAGCCCATCAGAGAGTGAGCTTCACTTTGGTATCACGCAGTTGCTCTATACTGCTGAAGTGTTTCAGTGTGGCAGTTCTCGCTAGTGTTAGGCCTGTTTGTGATAATTTGAAGATGCTGAAAATGTGATTAAAGATACGTAAATTAATGGGTTTCTAATTTCAGCACCGGCCGTGTTGAGGCTGTCCCTCTCAGCGCAGCTGTTGATGGATTTAAGTCACATTTGGTCTTCAAAGAGATTGAAAAGAAGCTCCAAGAGGTATTTGACTACTACTTTTACCTACAACAGGATGTTAATTTATCAGAGAACATGTGTGAAACCTGATGGGAATATAGAGCATCAATCAGTTCCTCAGTACGGCTCGCTGAAACAAATGTTATGGCTTTGAATTTCGCTGTGTCAGAAATAGTTGTATGCTGTGCCATGATTTTTAAATTATCCTTTTTCAGACAGTTCCTACCTGCGTAGATATTTCAGTAAAGGTAAGTTTAGGTTGTATGTGAGGAGCTTGCAAACTAACACAACAAAGATTATGTTTGTGTTTGGCATTTGTTAATTGTTTTATAACTGTCATTAGAAGAAGAAATCACATTTTGTCAGAGTTACATCAAGACAAGACTGTTAGGACAGTGGTAGTTTTTCTTAGTTGATATATTTTAATATAGTCATAGTTTGTGGGTTTTGGTGGTTTTGTTGGGTTTTTTTTATTGGTTTAAGTGAAACCTAATAAAGGGAAGTACATATTTTTGTTAGTAGAAAAGCTAAATGTTTTTAAATTACTTTCTGTTCAGTTCAAAGTATTTTATAATTATTTTGGAGTAAATGGATAATTTGCACATTTACATGGTCATTACAGGAAGGAGAGCAATTTGTCAAGAAAATCGGTGGAGTCTTTGCCTTCAAAATAAAAGATGGTCCTGGTGGGAAAGAAGCAACTTGGGTAGTAGATGTGAAAAATGGTAAAGGCTCTGTGGTAGTTAATTCAGGTCAGT